GTGGGTGACCTAGAGGAAGAGCAAGCAAGAGGGGGCAATAGGGGAGGCATTCTCATTCTTCCTGAGGTAGCTAGGTAACTGATAACCTGAAAAACTAGGGCAATTTCCCAGGAATATGCACAGCCTGGGAAATAAGCAGGAGCAATTAGAAGTCCTTGCACGGTCACAGAACTATGATGTGATTGGAATACCAGAGACTTGGTGGGAGCTCGCATGACTGGAGCACTGTCATGGATGGGTACAAACTGTTCAGGAAGGACAGGCAGGGGAGAAGAGGAGGAGGAGTTGTGCTGTATGTAAAAGAGCTGTATGATTGCTCAGAGCTCCAATGTGAAACTAGAGATAGGCCTGTTAAGTCTTTGGGTTAGGATCAGAGGAGAGAGCAGCAAGGGTGATGTCATGGTGGGGGTCTGCTATAGATCACCAGACCAGAAGGATGTGGTGGACGAGGCTTTCTTCAAATAGCTAGTGGAAGCTTCCCAATCACAGGCCCTGGTTCTCGTGGGGAACTTTAGTCATCTTGGCATCTGCTGGGAGGGCAATACAGCAGTGCGAAGGTGATTCAGGAAGTTTTTGGAAAGTGTTGGGGGCAACTTCTTGGTAAAAGTGCTGGAGGAGCCAACTAGGGGCTGTGCTGTGCTGTTCTTGACCTGCTGCTCACAAACAGGGATGAATTGGTGGGGGGATGTCATAACAGATCGCAACTTGGTCAGCAGTGATCACAAGTTGATTGAGTTCAGGATCCTTGGGAAAGGGCTCAGCAGTGGACCCAGAAGTGGACCAAAACTACTTCTAGTTCACTTCCGGTCCACTGCTGAGTGTGCAGGGGACCTGTGTGCCGCCACCTCCCACACGCTGTGTTCCCCTGGCTTGGCGATCAGAGACTTTGGAGGCAGCAGTTGCTGAGCTGGGGGGCAGGAGAGGGTCCCCTGCACGCTCTGCGGCAGACCCAGAACTGGACCGGAAGTGCTTCTGGTCCACTTCCAGGTCCATTGCCGAGCGCGCTGGGAACCACCCACCCACACACACACTCCTGTGAGGTGCTCCATCCGCCCTACCATCTCAGCTTTCACAAGCCACTTGGTACCTTGAGGTATGTAGAAAAAACATTTAAATCTGCATCTGTCTGAATTGTCAAATCTCTCTGAATTGATTCAGAGGGTCTCCTGATTTGATTCGGATTCAGTGATTTGGCCACTGAATTGGGCCAAATCTCCGCCAGATTGAATCCACAACCAAAGTTTCACACAATCCTACAGAATACTCTAGGAGGCCAGCCTGGGGTAGTTGACTGTACTTGAAAGAAACCTCACTGAGGGTGCAGGAACTGATGTTCAGGAAGACTAGCAAGTATGGCAGATCAGCTTGGCTTAATAAGGAGGTCTTCAGTAAGCTAAAACACAAAAGGAAGCTTACAAGAAGTGGAAACTTAGGCAAACAACTAGGGGGGAGTATAAAAGTATTGCTCAGGCATGCAGGGATGAAATCAGGAAGGCCAAAGTGCAGTTGGAGTTGCAGCTAGCATGCGACAAGAATGGTAATGAGAAGGGTTTCTACAAATATGTCAGCAACGAGGGGAGGATCAGGGAAAGTGTGGGTCCTTTACTAAATGGTGGGGGCAGCCTAGTGACAGATGCAGAAGAGACTGAAATACTCAATGCCGTTTTCTCATCAGTTTCACAGGCAAAGTTATTACCCAGACTGCTGCACCTGGCAGCACAGTTTGGGGAGGAGGTGAGCAGCCAACAGTGGCGAAAGAACAGGTTAGGGACTATCTAGGAAAACTGGATGTGTAAAAGTCCATGGGGCCAAACAGAATGTATCTGAGAGTGCTAAGGGAGTTTGCCAATGTGATTGCAGAGCTGCTGGCTGTAATCTTTGAAAACTCATGGTGATCAGGAGAGGTCCTGGATGATTGGAAAAGGGCAAATTATAGTGTCCCTCTTGAAGAAAGGAAAGATGGAGGATTTGAACAGTCAGCCTCACCTTTGTCCCTGGAAAAATCATAGAGCAGGTCTTCAAGGAATTCATTTCGAAGCACTTGGAGAAGACGATTAGGAACAGTCAGCATGGATTCACCAAGGGCAAGTCATGTCTTACCAACCTGATCGTCTTCTATGACGCAAAGACTGGTTCTGTTAATGCGGGTAGACCAGTAGATGTGATATACCTTAGTTTTAGCCAGGCTTTTGTCTCAAGTCTCCCACAGCTTTTTTGCAAGCAGCCTAATTAAGTACAGGTTGAATGAATAGACTGTAAAGTGGATAGAAAACTGGCTGGAGTATTGGGCTCAGAAGGCATAGTCAGTGGCTTGATGTATAGTTAGTAGCCAATATCAAGTGGAATGCCCCAGGAGTCGGTCCTAGGGCCGTTCTTGTTCAATATTTTCATTAATAACCTGGAAGATGGGCTAGAATGCACCCTCAGCAAGTTTACAGATGACACCAATCTGTGGGGAGCTAATGGGTAGGGCTAGGTTTCGGAGAGACCTTGACAGATTAGAGGATTGGCATGGAAGAATGATAATGGCATACTGGGTTGCATTAGTAGGAATGTTGCCAGCAGATCAAGGTTAAGTGATTTTTTCCTATCTATTCAGCACTGGTGAGGCCACAGCTGGCATACTGTGTCTAATTTTGGGCCCCTTATTATAGAAATAATGTGGGCAAATTAGAGAGAGTCCAGCAGATGGCAATAAAAATGGTTAGGGGGTTGGGGCACATGACTTCTGAGGAGAGGCTGAGGGAACTGGGTTTCTTTAGTCTGCAGAAGAGAAGACTGAGGGGGGTTTAATAGCAGCCTTCAACTAACTGAAGGGTGGTTCCAAAGAGGATGGAGCTGAACTGTTCTCAGTGGTGGCAGATGACAACAAGGAGCAATGATCTCAAGTTGTAGCAAGGGAAGTTTAGGTTAGATATTAGGAAAACTTTCTTACTAGCAAGGTAGTAAAACACTGGAACAGGTTACCTGGAGAGGTTGTGGAGTTTCTGTCTTTGGACATTTCTAAGGCCCACCTGGGCAAAGCCTTGGCTGGGATGATCTAGTTGGGGCTGGTCCTGCTTTGAGCAGGAGGTTGGACTAGATGACCTCCTGAGGTCCCTTCCAACCCTAATTTTCTATGATTCTTTAATCACTGTAAAATTTAGTTTTTGAAATGTGAAGCTGCTCAATTCACTGAAATTCTAGAGGGCTGTTTTGTCCAGTCTGAGGGGATGCCTTCAGTCTAAAAAGGTTGAGAACCACTGATCTTTGGACATATTCGTCCCTTTGTGCAGCACTGTACCCCCATTGACCCTAGTGGGATTATACAGTTTGTTCTGGGATAGAATTTGGCCTTTGTGTTTACAGAACAAAGGACTAAGATGCCAGTCATTGGCCTGACACCTGCCAAAGCTACAGTTCTTATCACTGCCTTCTGAAACATCTGAAAGATTCATCCTGAGGAAACCCCGAGGAATTCATTTGTTTAGTGTATGTTAAAAAAAAAAACAGTGAGCTTACTTTCAAGTGCTACCATTCTGATGTTAATAACTGACAGGAGTGGACAATGAGAGAAAACTAGGTCTGTATCACCCTGAGGGGAAATTTTATGTAAAAAACTAGGGGCAGTAAATTGGGGAGATGTCGTGCATCAGCCTGTAGGGTGCATTGATAAGTAGCGCAGCTTTTCTTTTTTTTTTTTTACTGTCCACCTCATAATCTAGACACTGTCCATCAATCACCTTTGACTACTTGCAACCGGGCAGCACTTGAATTTTGGTGAAGATATTGTAATAAATAGTCATGGACGTGTGTATGCACATCAGTGTCTTTTCCTTGATGGAATGAGTAGTGTTAAAGCGATATAGCTGTCATGGTCCAGGAATTATGCAAGAGGCAAGGATTTCTTAGGGTGATATCTACTGTTGGACCAACTGCCCAGTTGGGATAGTCAGGCAAGCTTTTGAATGCAGGACATTCTTCATGTCCTTTGAAGACATTTTTCATCAGGTCTGAAGAGAAAAGCCAGCCATAAGAAAAAAAACAGTTGTAGAGAGGGAGAGAATTTCCCGTGTGTGCACACTCATGCATTTATATGCGTGAAATGGAAGAATCAGGTAGGTTATAATATGCCATAAACCAGTATCAGTGGAGTGAAAACTGTGGGTGCTGACAGAAGTGATATTGTCATGCAATTGGCCCCCTGAAAGCGCTCTGTAGTCAAGTTGTGTGTCTCACGTGCATGGTTGCAAAGTGCTTTAAAAGTGGCTGATTGTACAACAAATTATCCCATATCTAATGAGGGAGCAGATGAAGGGAACTTGTCAATCCCTCTTGCCATTGGGCCTATCCCCAGTGCTGTCTATAGGAAGGGATCAGGGAGAAAGGATGGGGAGGGAGCTGCAGGCTGGGGTTTGCTGGGCCTGAGCTGGAGCCACTGGGTGCATCCCAGCCCCCCTCATCCATCTCGGGTCATGTGGACCCCATTCTCCCTCCTCCTCCCTTCTCCCCCCTCCTTTCCTGCCGACAAGGGGGAGAGGTGTGTGGCAGGACTGAGAGAACAGAGGCTGCAGGCAGGATATGCTAAATTGGTTCCAAAGTGGAGCTGGATTTCCTTGCCACCCCTCTCCCCCTCGCTCCCCATGAATGAATGTCTGTTGGGTTGGGGGTAGGGGCGTCGCTATAACTAATGGTGCTTTCTGTGAAGTGCCGTGAGTTGGAACAGGGAGCTGCACGTCTGTCAGTGCCCTGTATTTTAGCAGGATTTTTATTATCTCTTGGTAACAGGTAATAGAACTATTTCACTAGCTTAAGTGTTACCTGCTGGTGCTTTTGGAAGAGGAGAGTTCTTAGGTCTCCAGTAAGAAGGGTGAAGTACCTTGGAGGTTTGTTTTCTTTTTTAAATCAAGGTTTACGTCTTTAACTTTCCAATACATTTCAGTGAGACTATATGGTTGGTAAGCATGAGAAGTGGCTTCCAGCTCATTAAAGTGCTAATATTCCCTCCCCCTTCCCCCCAGGCTTCTTCATTTACTTTGCATATGGAATGCGGCACAGTGTGGAGGCTACATATTCAGCACCACCAGAGCCAGAAAGAAGCATGGCCCTTGATTCAGACAGCTGTAAATGATGGCAGGTTCAGCTGAAGAAGAGCTGGACAGCTGCTGCAGAGAAGAAAGCTGTATCTCGGGGATCCTGACCTATTTCATTTGGTTAATCAGCGCGGCAGAAATAATGAAACGTAAGGTGGGATTCCCAGCCTTGCTTCTGCATCAGTCAATTTGTTTGACCTTAACAACACAGTTAAAAGGGATCACAGGGAAAAAGCCAAGACTCTGGCATAGTCCTGACCAACACTGTAACCTGAGCTGGGGACACCCTTTTTTTTTCTTCTCCTCCATAACTGCATAGAAAGAAAAGAGCCTCTGTGTGCCAGTTAATCTTCTATGCTGCTTTGAGACTAGGCTTTGTTGAGGTCCTTCCATTTGCCCTATGAATTCACTCCCCAGGGACTCTGTTTCAGGTAGAGCACATTCTGCAATGCTAATGTCATTCTTAGGACCTTGTTACACAGTAAGTTTAGACTGCTTCTGGAGCTCTTACCCCCTGCACTGGCTTCACATTAACACCTTATAAGTGGCTTAAAGCGCTTATTATTTGTCTTAAAATTACACCATTTGAGGGCAGGATTATCTCCAATTCACCTAGTTTTATTCCTGTTGTATTACAGAGTGGCCGCTTCCCACAGCTATTCCACCCAAGTTGAATTTTTTTTAATATCCCAGAATGCAGCAGCTCCTCCTGACTCAGGGTGAGCTGAGATGCTGGGCCATAGTATCTTATCCTCTGGGGATGTCAGGCAGAGCAGGCTGTGCAGTCCTGGAGCGCCTAGCGGCCACAGTGTTTCCCACCACCGCCTGGATTGGCTCTGCTCCCACCAGTGGTGACGCAGGGGACAGGTGCTGCCTAAGCTCTGGAGGAAAAGGGATTGGACCCCTCGGAGCTCAGACAGTGCTGGGCTGGCTGGCAGCCCTGGAGCTCTCTGGTCTCAGTGAAACTGACACAGCTGCTGTGCCCCAAGACCTTAAGGCATGAAAGCTGGGAAGCACCTTCATATCACGGAGCTGTGGCAGCTCTGCACTGAGAGCAGGGCTGCCAGGGCTTAAGCCCAACAGCCCCACTCTCAGGGCAGAGCTGCTATATCAGTTTTAGTGAGACCAGATTGCTGCTTCCCCAGGACTCTCTGGTTTTGCTGCAACTTACGTGGTGGTAGGCCTACTCTGCCCAGTGGGAACAGTGTGTGGGGTCCTGCTCCTAGTCTTGTCCCTGTTCACCAAGCCTGTAGTGGCAAGTCAAAGCTGTGCAGGTGAAGGGCAGTCAGGGCAGGATTTTCGCCTTACTGCATGGCTGCTCCACTATGCCAAACAGCTCCAAGCCAATTAACATTTTTTCGGCTTACAGCATCAACTCTAACAAGGTTCAGATTCTTCATTCTGGTGAGGGGAGCTGTACCACAAAAAAGCCCCTTATCATAAAATAATTTCCCATCTGTTTAAACAATAGCTAAAAGATCTACTTTTTTTTTAAAAGAAAAAATATGAAGTTCCATTATTTTATTTATATTGAGTTTCTGAATGAGTTAGGTAGTCATGCTTTCAAATGTAACATTGCTGTGATACTTTGGGAAGGTTTATATTAGCTGTTCTTAGACTGATTCACTTTTCCAGTATGCAGATGGTACAAATGGAAATGAGACTTTTCAGCTATAGCTGCATAAATCTCTTAAGTGTAAGTTTTCAGTGGCTTTGTGTGTGGGCATTTCCAGAAAGCTTTTCCTACCTCTTAATATCAGAAATAGTCAAAACAAGACTGAAAAGAGTTAGGGTTATTAGGAGAAATATTTGAGAGTCTTCATCCTGAAACAAGTATGGACCAATTTCCCTCTTTCAAAGCAGTGTAACACCAAGTTAACTCCTTTGAAGGTAGTAAAATTGCTTCTCTCTTATGCCAGTTTAAATTAGAGGAGAGTTCAGCCTCGAGAGATTTGATGTTGACTTCAGTGTTCAAGTCCTTCAAAAATGATGCAGAAAAAGTCTTTTGGTATTCTAGGGAGATGGTATTCTTAGACTCTCACAACTTCTGACATTTCTCCAAGGTAAGCTTAATGTAGGATCTGAAATGTCCTATTCTCTGTTTGCACTCAGTGGAGCATATAACCCACCATGGGAAACCAGAATTAAGCTCTAAAACCTGGTCTACACAGACAAGGCATGCATTTAGTCTGGTATAACCTCCAGTGTTGATGTTTTTCTTTTAGTCCGAGTCACTTTTTTTTCAGTTTTGCATAAATCGCTTCCCAAATGAGAGAGGCTAAAGTCAGGAGGGTGGAAGGAGGCAGACATGCTGGTATGAGAGGCTAAGAAAGTCTAGATGGGTGAGTTATACCAGTGTAATTTTATCAGTTGAAGTTTACACCTTAGCTACATGCTAACAGTCTTTCCCACTTAGATAATGCCTAGGGGTGAAAATCTTCTGTTTTCTCACAAGCAAAACGAAGCTGTTCATTTGCCCTCCATTAGCATCATGTCTAAGAGTGTTGCTACATGTTACAATCACGTGTGCTAACTCTAAGGAATATTAGGTGGTATTAAAGTTAGCACGTGATGTGAGCAGTTGCACACAGGGTTAGTATTAGGGCTGTGCAGAGCTTTGGTTTCAGAGATTTGGCCGCCAAATCAAATCAGCATCTGAATTGGGAAACCATTTAAAAAGTCTGAATCAATTTTGAAGCCTACAAATTCGGAGAAGATTTTGAGATTTGGACCATGGGGAGACCCCTACAATACCCCATCCCCTGACCCCCACCTGCTCTCCCAGCCCTGTCAATGGCTGCTCTGCCTGGCCCCTGTGTCGTAGCACTTTATAAAGAACAAAATGAAAAAGCCCTGCACTCACCAGCTGCTGTAGCAGCTGTCAGGTCCTCTAGGGGCTTGTGGCAGAGCACCCCCCCAGGGCAGTGGAGGGCAGCAGGGGATGGCCCCCCCACCTGGCAGGAACTGGTGAGTGGGACTTTTTTTTTTTTTTTTTTAAGTGCTGGGATATTGGAGCCAGGTGGGGCAGCCATCGACAGGGCTGGGAGAGCGGGCAGGGGATGAGGCCTGTTCGATTCGACCATTTCAGCAGTGGCCAAATCTTTGAATCTGATTCGGCTGAGTCAGTTTGGGACAGTAATTTGAATCGCCGAATCGAATCACTGCCCCCCTAATTGGCTGAATCCAAAGCAAATACTAGCCACTTTGCACAGGCCTAGTTAGTACCCTCTCTAACGTGCTGTTAGAGGGCTGGTATGCAAGGGTGTGGCTAGGAGCTGCCAACTCTACCCTGTGCTTGCCTGGCTCTGCCCCTCCCTCCATGGCTCCCCATTCACCTGATCTCTGTTAGTCTGGGGCAGTGGAGTTCCAGATGATTGATCATCCACATGCTGGTGGGGAGAGCACTTGGAGCAGTCAGTGCAGCATACCAAGTGACTGAAAGACTGCAGATTGCTGGTGTTGCCCCATGGAGCAGACTGATATTACTGCAACACAAACTGCCTGACACCAGCTGAAGATGATCATTTTCCTAAGAAAATAATCATTGTCTTAAGTTCTACTTTAAGATGCTCAGAGGGCACCTAGATAGTCTTTCTTTGCCTTAACATGCAGGCATTTCTGTCTTAAGAGCACTTAACACATGGGAAAGGTAATATCTAACAACACCTTAAGCTACTCACAATCCTAACAACATTCCTAGGAGGTACTATTTGTTGTTTTATAAATGGGGAAATATGGTTCACAGTCTGAACTGCTTACCCAAGCTATCCCAGGATGTCTGTGATGTGGCAGGAATGGATCCAGTTCTCCCCAAATCCACTGGTTAATGGCCCAAGCTTCCTTCCAAATTTCAAATATGGCTTATGCTTTGTGCCAGCTCTGAACAGTGGTGAATTTTACCCTTGGGCTTTTAGTAGGTACTAAAGGACACTGCTTATGGTCCCCAGGTTCAAAATTTATTCCATGCTGTTTCAGTGAGAACCTGATGGAACACATGGCTCTCTTTCACTGTGCTCTATGTGCAGTCTACAGTACAACATAAAAGGTTGAGTTCTGATCTTGGATGCATGGCAGATCTCAACTCTTGAGTTTGTTTCCTTGCACATGTTGAAATTCCAGAAGTATTCACTCGAACAGAGGGAGAAACTTGTCAAAATCAAGAGCTACCAGGCAGTAGAGTATTGTCCTAAAATCAGACGTACCCAATACATACCACATCTCCTTAAAGGCACTGATATCAGGAAAAAAAATCCCATGGTACCAAAACAGCTGCAAACTCTTTTTTCCCCAACTTCAGCACCTATTCTAAACAGTTGTTAAATTTAGCATTGCATGAACGTTTGGAAAAGGGTAAGTGCTGACTGAAAGTGGGTTTCCAAGGAAAAGCTGTTTAAATTTTATGCAGATTGCTTGGTGTGAAATGTTTTGATAAATGTTAACTTATTTTTTGACTTGCATTTCCTACTTCCTTAAGGACCTGTTTGGTATTTATGTTCCAGTACTTTATTACAGCTTCTTAGATGCACAGTGTAGAAAATACCAGCACTTAGAGGAAAGGGAAATTTTGATGGAGATACTTTTTCTTTAATTTTCTTTTCTGTGAGTTCATATGAGAAAAACATTTCAATATATATTGATCATTTTAAGTTATCTTACATGCACCCTGCCCAAAGTTCTCTACATGCATTTCACAAACTGAAAGACAAAGGTCCTAAAATCTTTCTAGTATAATGATGTTAAATAAGTAACTGATTTTCTTTCCTCGATGTCCTTCTGTAACGTACATCAGAGTTACTGTCAGTGAAGAACACATTCAAATGTTGCTGAAATCTTGTGAAGAATACACCTGCATTTATTTGAGCATTTTTTGTAAATAGTTCAATAATTATTTTATGTTTTATAGGAGTATTTTATACAGATGCCAGAGCATTTTGCCGTATATAAAGAGAATGTATAGAAATCATGCTTTTTGGGATGCCTAGTGAAATAATAGATATCTCTCTTTTTCTTGAGTCAAAAAGGGTGGATCTTTCAAGGCAGCATCTTGCCTCAGGAATTTCATCCCATTTTAACAATATTCAGTCATTTCCTGTTTCTTTGCCCCCTCAGTTGAAGATACATAGGTGCTTGATTTGAGGTATCTAACACTTTCTGTGGCAGTCCTTAGTAGGTTAAAATGGGCAATGTTTAGGCTGGGTAAACTGCTTCTCACCATGATGGGCAATTTCCTCATAATAATATAATATTTATTAAGGGAATAGAGCCAATCAGCCTTTCTTGACAGGGAAACTAATTTCAAAGACTGACCTCTTTTCAAAAAGTTACATGCTTGAAATCATTTTAGGTTTAACTTAAAAAAAAAAAAAAAAAAATGAAATGGGGAATGAAAAACTTCACCTGCAGGTTTTGTATCTCCATTTTCTCTCTCTGTTCCCTTGCTGTGGAGATCTTAATGTGTGCCCAGGTGTCAGACTCTTCTTTTGGTTTATTTCTAGTCTGTGTCATCTCCCTTAGTGGTTCATTTTTGTCTTTTAGTGGCTTGTGCTGATCAGTCAGCTTTGGCTGGGATGGTGGGATTGTCTTCAGTTTTTAGATTTTCTGTGGTTTTTGTTTGTGAATAACCTCAAGCCCCACCATTGCTGCACAGCAAACTCCCAGAATGTACTTGTTTTACAAAAAAGTCTGGTGGGATGGAGGTACCTTTAGCCAGTTCTCAAAGCAGGTGCAGATATCAAGTCTTGGAGCTCCTGTGGAAGTTTGAGTAGCTTTTCTGTTAACTTATTTGGCTCAATTAATCCTGAGGACTTAACGGTATTTCTGCAGGGTCCTTGGCAGCAGTCTCGAGAGCAATGCAACAAGCACTGTATTTACTTGATTCTAAGATGAATCGCTTGCCTAATCAGGCTGTCTGCATAACTGCTCTCTGTAGCATGGGGCAAGAGCTGGGGTGGGCAAAATGCGGCCTGGGGGCTGGATGTGACCCACCAAACCATTCTATCCGGCCTGTGGGGCCCCGAAAAAATTTAGAAAATTAATATTTATCTGCCCTGGGCTGCCTGTCATGCGGCCCTTGATTGCTTGCCAAAACTCAGTAAGCGGCCCTCTGCCCAAAATAATCGCCTGCTCCTGGGCAAGAGCAAGTCAAGAGTGGCTTTGGGGCTTCCCTTGAATCCAGATCAGCAGCAAGGGGCAAGTGTAAACATGTGCTTAGACTCAGTACAAAGGCCTGGC